TGCCACTTAGCGAGAGATTCCAATGAGCATGATGGCGTCGGACGCTTTTCTCTGGCATTCCATGTGAGCTCCAGTTCGGATCAAGCTGGCGAAACTGACTTTCATTGCCCACTGCGTGCCATGATCGGCTGACTATAAATTAAATCCTCTTTTCCAAAAGCCATTTTCCATTAGTGCTAATTTGTTTGCTTCTCGTTTTTACTGATCATTAGAGACCCTGCTTGTGAGCACCAAATTGGAAATGATTTCTTTGACATTTCAAAAAATTTTTCTCCCCTTCTTGGATGCCATTTGGCTGCAACTAAAGAACATTATGGTTTTCAGAAGAACAGCTCTCTCCAATTACAATTTAACTGACCGTTCATGGCACCAAATCCCTGTCCTTAGTGTCCAAAGATGGCTGACACCGCCATCCCTGTCCTTTCTGTAAAATGCCTCATAGACCTCGCACTGGCCTCCTTGGATGGAGCTTCCGCCACTCTGCACATGGCAGCTTTGAGAAGGCAGTAGATTTATGTTCCTACACATCATGGACATTCAGATATAACCATCACAACAAGAGCTGACTGGTTTCTCATCAGCCGGCAGGCATTTAGTAAACATGTATTTTATGCCACTCGGCATGGGACAAGGGACAGGGAAACCAGCACCTGCCCCTGAGCTCAGCCTCCAGTGAGAGGAGGGTTCATTTCGGTGATGGAAGAAGAGTCAAGAGCCCTGAAGTGGTCCAGGGGTTTTGCTAACGGACAAAAAGGAAGCTGGCCCCTTCTGTTGGCAGGGCAGCCTTGAGAGCCATGGAAGGAACTGGAGGTCTAGTAGTATGAACATCGCTGATGATAAGGTTAGATAGGGACCTTTTTAAATCTATTTTTTTTATTATTTCGTATGTGTGTGTGGTGTATGTCAGCATGTTCAGTGTCATCCTTAGCTACATAGTAAATTGAGGCCAGCCTGGGTCACATGGAGTGTATCTCAGTGGTATGGTGTTTGCCTACCTACAAAGAAAAATGGAGTGGTGGGCTGGGATTCTGCCCAATGGCCCTGGACTCCCTGTGAGCCTGCTTGGTTCCTCCCTTTCTTTCATCCTCCGGTTCTGTTGTTTCTTTCTGAGAAGCAGTTCTGTTTCTGTCTTCCCCTTGGTGCTCTGTGCGTGGCTTTGGAGCTGGCACCCACCTCCAGTCTTGCCTTTTCAAGCATCTTTTTATTTGCTACTTAGTGTTAAAGGTTTTTATTGTTTTATGTGTGTATTTTGTCTGCATGTGCATCTGTGCACACGAGCATGCCTGGTGCCTGTGGAGGTTAGAAGAGGTTAGCAGATCCCCTGGAACTGGAGCTACAGAAAGTTGTGAGCCACCAGCTCTTCTTCAAGAGCGGTCTGTGCTTTTAACTGATGAACTGTATCTCCTGCCCCATCTTTTTTTAAAAAAAAAACAGTGTCTGTTTGTGTGAATGTATGCTGTGTGTGTGAATGTATGCCCTTGGGGGCTAGAAGAGAGTGTCAGATCCCTAGAAATGGAGTTACAAGCAGCTGTAAGCTGTCCAACCTGGATGCTGGGAACTGCACTCGTGTGCTCTGGAAGACCAGCAAGCACTTTAAACCACTGAACCATCTCTCCATTCCCATTTCCAGCCATTGTAGGCAAAAATCAAAAGATTTCCAAAACAAAGTTGTGCCAGTCATGGTGGCACATGCCTTTAAAGGGTCGAGCACTCAAGAGGCAGAGGCAAGGGAATCTTTATGCCTCTGCTTACTCACCCTGAGCCAATGGAATGTTTTATTCCCTCTGCCTAGAACATACTTTCCCTGTGTCTCCCCTGGCTAGCGACAGGCCTTCCATAACAACCTGCACCCACACCAAAGCAAGTGTCCTGTGCTAGTGTGCTGTGCTTGCCCTATCAGGTCACACTATTAAAACTATAATGATTTATTTATAAGGCTCTCTGTAGGGCTGGAAAGATGTTCAGAGGTTAAGAGCACTGGCTGCTCTTTGCAGAGGCTTTGTGTTCAGTTCTCAACACCCACAATTGTGACTTACACATGTAGATGAACACCCATACACATACAATAAAAATAAATAAATCTTTAAAACAAAAAGGGTAAGGATGGCAAAGTAGGTAGACTCTTCATCAAGCTGATGAGCAAGTCCCATTCTGGGGCCCATGCGGTGGGAAGAGAAGGACCTATTTCTACAACTGTACTCTGACCTCTGCACATACACTGTGTCATGCACACATATGAACATGCACAAATAAACAAATGTAGTTCTAAGTTTTTTTTAATACAATAAAATAAAAGGCTCTGTGCTGACCCCAAACCTGTGCCCACTGCCGGTTATTCAAACAGGGCTCATGCATGTTCAGACTTATGCTCTGCTACGGAGCTCCATCCTCAGCCCACAGTTTCAGAAAAGGCACAGGCAGGAATCAGAACGACACCAGACTTACCAGAAGAAGTAAAGAGGAGGCTTGATCTGCGTGCCAACCAAACCTTGCCATGTTTGTTACATGGAATCATACGCACAGCCTGTCCGGGTAGGAGTTAGTCTTCTACAGAAGAGGGACTAGCCAATTTTCCTCGACACGCCTACAGACGCCACTACAGAACACACCCCAAAAAGCAAGGGAGTGAATCAAGAAACATGGAGTGCCATGCAATGGTGAAGAATGCCGATAGGAAACCCAAGGCAGCGTTTGTTTACCGAGCCCCACCCAAAGGAGAAAGAGGTCTGTGGACACAGGTCTCTGGGGAAAAGAAGAGATTAGTCAGATGTGGGTTGAACATTTAGAAAAAAATACTGCTACATATGGAACATTTGCGGGGTAAATCACAGCAGATAATTAGAACTAAATGATTGAAAAGAAATGGCCATGATTGACTCTAGGTAAAGCCAAGCTGTAAGGAAAGAAAATGTAATAGTATTTTATTGCTTGGCTGAAGAGTTTATTTACTTGGTCAATAATGTAAACACTATTGATTTAACTGTAAATTGTGGGAAATTATATTGTGAGGATGGGCAAGAGGAAAAGGAGGGTTGGAGTGCTTCAAGAGAACTAATTCTTTAGTCACCAGAATAATAAATAATATTCTCCAAGGTTGATAGATCAATTAATAATAGTGTATCAGTTTGCTGAGACTACCATGACAAAGAACCGCAGGCTGGGTGGCTTAAACAACAGGAATGGAACTGGAGCCATGGCTCAGAGGTGATGAGCTCTGGCTACTCTTGCAGAGGAGCCGGGTTCCATTTCTAGCACCCACATCTAGCCCAACCATCTGTAACTCCAGTTCCAGAGGGTCCAGCGCCCTCTACTGGCCATGGTGTGCAATGCATCATATGGTTAGACAACATAAATCTTTAAAAGAAAAAAGCAGAACCGTGTTCTTGCCGCCAAGTGTGCTGACTGAGTGCTACAGGGCTGCTGGCTCCCAGGCCTCTCTGCTACCATTGCAGATGGCCATCTTTCCCTATATCTTCATTTGACTTTCCATGTCCTAATATCTTCTAACATTTTGTTTTTGTTTTATGTGACTAGGCTTCTCTGTGTAACACTCTGGCTGTCCTGGAACTTGCTTTGTAGACCAGGCTGGCCTCAAACTCACAGAGATCTGCCTCCTGAGTGCTGGGATTAAAGGTGTGTGCCACTACCACCTGGCCATTCTTTTGTTTTTTTGAAACAGAGACTTACTATATAGCCCTGGCTGGTCTGAAACTTGCTATGTAGACCAAGCTGACCTTGAACTCACAGAGAACCACCTGCCTCTGCCTCTCAAGGGTTGGGACTGAAGACGTGTACCACCACACCCAGCCCTCATCTGTTCTTGTAAAAAAATCTCTCCATATTAAACAAGGTGCACATTAATGACCTCACTCTATCCTAGCTGCTCTTTAAAAGACCCTGTCAGGGCCAGGGAAATAGCTCAGGTGGTAAAGTGTTTGCAACCATGAAGACCTGAATTCAATCCCTAGAGACTACATTTAAAGAGGAGGAGGAAAAACAGAAAGAGAAGGCCAGACATGCTGTCATTCTTGTAATGACAGAGACAAATGATGCTAGTCAGTCAGCAAGCCAAGCCTCTTTGGTGAGACCCAGGAGAGTGAGAGACCCTGTCTCAAGAGAAAACAAAAATATAAGGTAGACCATATCTGAGGAACGCCATCCGAAGTTAATCTCATCTGTAGACATGTTGAGTATTGACTTGCACTCATGTATACACAGACCCTACCTCAAAGCACAATCACAGCCTACAGTTGTGGGCATTTGGGATTTCAACATATGAAATTGATGGAAACACAGGTCAACCCATACAAGCTGTGTGTGCAATTGTTACTTGACAATGTGGAAGTAAATACCAGAAGAGCCAAAAATGACTGCCTGTGGAGAGAGGCAGGGAAGAGGCTGAGGGCTAAGCTTGGCTGTTACTTTGATTTCACAGCCTTGAGCTCAGTCTGGTTCCACTCCTCCCCAAGGAGTGCCTCCAGGGCCCTGGTGAGCCCTGGCACACCTTCTGTCTCCCACAACACCTTGTAGAGAGCTACTTAATAGGCCTCCCCTGCACACTTAGAGTTGAAGTTAGGTGTGCTGGGTCCAAGAAGACTGAGGCAAAGAAGGTCATGTTTGAGGCCTGGCTAGACTACACAGTGAGACCCTGTCTCAAAGGAAGAATCAGCAAAGAAAGGAAAGGAGAACAGAAGGGAAAAGTGAGCTCCAGGGACTCTGAGGGAGCATCACACAGAGCATCCTGCCTGGACTTGCTGGGCTCTTCTCTGGTATCACAGGGTGATTCTGACCCTGTGAAGAATTTATCTTGATAAGGTTAATGCTGGTGTCTCATCTCCTTCTCCCTGGGGTCTAAAACAACCACTGGTCCCCGTCTTCTTAAGGTAGTTTGGCTGTTGAAGATGGCTACAGCCTATGACAGTAAGTTTATGCCTCTGACGAAATAGAATTTGTTATAATGGATGGCAACCCATAAAGGTTTGGTCATTTTTTGTGTTTAGATTGGTCCACCCTTATTTCGCCCAGTTCCAAAGGCTGATTGGACCCTGTGGTGTCTTCCTGAAGCTGCGTGGGCATCCTTCCCAGGAGCACAGACCCCGTGTCCTCTGGGGAGTAGAGGAGGTTGGTATGTATGTACGTCTGTCTCAGCCTGCCTCAGATTATCACTCCCTAATAAAAGCCTGATAGCAGGGCCCCATCAATATCTCAAATACATGTGAGGAAACGTTAATTTAGAATCAATTTTAGGATGTTTCAGACTGTAAAGTCCTTTTAACTAGATCTCTGGCGAAGATGTAGCAGCACTTTATGGGACTGTAAATTTCATGTTGAACAGTCTTTGTGAAATACACATCTCCCCTACACACAAGCTCTTCCCTCCATATCAATCATGGCCGCTGCAAGTAATGTTTCACAAATATTCTGTAAATCACAGAAAACCCCATGATAATGTGAAATATGACTTTCACTTGTCTGTCAGACAAAAGAATCGCACATGCCTCTATCCCATCAGCACTAACATTTGTTATGGATAATAACACTTTCAATCACAACTATTTTTGGGAAACTGGTTTATTTTAAACCTTCCCTCCCCCCACTGAAAACACTCTCCCAAGGACACAGGCTCCTACAGACCACAGCCCATTAATTCAGCTATGGAATAAGTTGTTCTTCCCACTAACTTTACTTTGCGTTGTTTTAAAGAGTTAGAATAAACACCTCAGGTACAAGGTTAAGAAGGACTTTGACTAAACTAATCAACAGAAAGGGGGCAGGGTCTCAAAAGACCTCGGTCTGCCATCCTGCCTTAAGTGGGATCTGAGAGACATTGAGGCTTTTAGCAAACACCTTCTCCGCTACAACCCTGGATCTTGTGTTTTCTCTTTTCTGGCCTTCACGGAGATGCCAGGCATGGCATTATCTATAAAGCCACCACTGGGTGGTTGCCGAGGCAGGTGCATTCCTGGAACTCCATGGCCAACCAGTCTAGCCAAGCTGGTGAGTTCTAGGTTCAATAAAAATCCTTATCTCAAAATATAAGGTGACAGGGCTTGTCGTGGTGGCCCATGCCTTTTATCTCAGCACTCAGGAGGCAGAGGCAGAGGCAAGCAGATCTCTGTGAGTTCAAGTCCAGCCTGGTTTACAGAGTGAGTTCAAAGTCAGCCAAGCCTAAATAGTGAGTGTATATCTCAAAAAATATAAATAAAAAATAAGGTGAAGAGCGGCTAAGGAAGACACCCAACATCAATCTTGGACCTTCACACGCATGTGTGCACACCAACATACACATTTTACACACAGACAGAAAAAAAATGTTAAATGAACTCCTGTAATCCAGCAAGAGGTTTGTCAGGATTTCAAGATCAGCCTGGGCTACATAGAAAGACTATGTCTTAAAGAAAAAACAAAACAGCAAAGCACAATCCTAACTCCTGGGAAACAGAGGCAGACCTCTGAGTTCAAGGCCAGCCTGGTGTATGTTGTCATTGATGTTGAAATAGCCTCTTTCTCAGAGTCAGCCCATTCTAACTCTGAAATCATCCTCCTGCCTCAGTATCTGGAAGTACTGGGACTATAAGTTTCACTGATGGGCCACTGTGATACTCTTCATTACAGCCTGGCTAAAGCCTGCCTAATCAAGTGGCAGGTGGCCATTCTGAGAATGGATTTTTTTTTTTTTCCTAGCGTTGGGGACCTTGCACATGCTCAGTAAGTACTCCGCCTGTGAGCTACAGCCCCAGCCATCATCCATTCGCTTGTTTTGTTTGACACAGCGCTAGGGAGGGAACTCAGAGGCCCCTGCAAGCACTACCAGTGAGCCATGCCCTCAGCCACACCTAGCCTGGCTTTTTGCACCTAAGTCCATCAGCACAAAGGCTCCCCTAGCTGGCAGCAGATCTTACCTGAGGCTTGGGGCAGCAAGTACTCTGTCTAGGTCGAATTTGTGTTTATCTTACACTTAATTCTTCTTTGTGGACTTTGTTTTTGGTCTTACATCTTTTCCATTTTCTCTATCATGTGATTATAAACATTCCGGTGCCCCATCTTCTGTCTCTTATAGTCAACCTTGGGACTGGCAGAACATGACTTCTATAAAAGAGCAGGCAGCAATTAGCCGCCTCCTGAGTTTTTTGCAAGAGTGGGACAATGCCAGCAGAAACCTGAGAAGTCAGATTCTCACCAAGTTCATCGACTCCAACGAAGGCAAGACTGGCCCCGAGTTGGAGCAGGAGTTTTCCCAGGGAGCCAGCTTGTTCCTCATACGACTGACCACCTGGCTTAGAATCACGTATCCTTTTCTGAACTGGTGGGAAGTGGGGAGTCATTCAAAGAAAGAAAAAAAAAAGTATAGTTGGTGAAGTTTTTCTCTTGGTTCCAATATTTTAGAACTGAAAAAAAAATAGTGATAAAAATATCCCCAAAGTCAAGAATTCTATTGACTTCCTAACTCTAAGTGTGTCCTTATTCTTACCTTTGTTTCCTGAGGCTTGGGGCAGCAAGTACTCTGTCTAGGTCAAATTTGTGTTTATCTTACACTTAATTCTTCTTTGTGGACTTTGTTTTTGGTCTTACATCTTTTCCATTTTCTCTATCACCAATTTATTTCTCATCTTTTATTATCATTATTTGTGTGTGTGTATCTTGGCTGCATCTGTGTCTATGCTCCACATGTGTGCCAGTGGCCCCAGAGGCCAGAAGAGGGCATCCGATCATCTGGAACTGGAGTCACAGATAGTTGTAAGCTACCACCTGGGTCCTCTGGAAGAGCAGCCAATGCTCTTAAGAGCTGAGCCATCTTAAGCCCCACCCACCCCTGGGGGGGGTTCAGAGTCTTATGTAGCCCCCGACAGCCTCAAATATTGTGTTGCCTAAGATGTCCTGATCCTTCTGCCTCCACCTTCCAGGTGCTGGGACCAGAGATGGGTATCACCATGCCTGGCCTTAGCTCTAAAAATTAAAACAAAAGCCTAGCCTTAACCCTGAGCTCACCCAGCCCCTCCCCTTCACAATGAAACTAGCTGTAAAGGTCATTGCGTCTCCCTGTCTCCCCTTCCGCCCACTGCAGTCTCACTCCTGCTCACCCAGCTCCACCAGTGCTGGTCTTCCCAAGCAAGGTCTCAAGTGGTTCTCTGACTGCCAAGCCCAGTGGCCACATCCTCATTCCCTATACATGACCTCTTGATGGCATCTGTCAGACAACCCTTCCCACTTCTCAGAACTGTTCCCTTGAGTTCTGTGATCTGGCTCTCGTGTTTTCTCTTTCCTTCTGACTGACCTGTCTTATCCTTGGCCTTCCTTCCCTTAAGTCTTGGTGTTGCTGTCCCCCCAGTCCCCTGTCCCCCAGTCCCCGTGTCTTTTCTACACTCATTCCATTCTGCTTCTCCCAGAATAATCAAATCCAACGTCACTCCAGCTGGAAAATTCTCCAGTTTCCTTCCTGAATCTGAGCCCTTTACCTAGATATATCCAGCTTTACTGGCTCTACTCATGCCACAGGCCTGTGGCAGATTTAGAAAACTAGATGAATGGGAAGAGAACAGAAAAAGAGATGCAACTTTGATTAAGAGCACTGGCTGCTCTTCTGGAGGTCCTGGGTTTAATTCCCGGTAACCACATGGTGGCTCACAACCATCTGTATTGGGATCTGATGCCCTCTTCCTGTGTGTGAGCTCACATGCAGACAGAACACTCATAAAATACATAAACAAATAAAACTAAAAAAAAATTGTTCGGTGACAAGTCGCAGTACCTGTGTTGTTTGGGGTCCTGGAAGCAGATCACCACTGAAGAAGGTTTGGTCACTGCTGCTGACAATGAGTTCCTGACTGTGCTGTGTGTGAGCACCACAGCACTTATGCTCTCAGTGGATTAACTGCACAGACTCTCCATGGATTTACTGCAGACTTTTTCTCTCCCTGTGCTGGGGCTAGAACCCAGGACCTTCCACATGTTAGGCAAGCTCTCCACCACTTGGTTCGATCCCAGCCCACCTCAGAACTTTGTGTTAAGTGTTTTTCTTCTTTTCTGAACGCTCTCTTCTTCTGTGAGCCCCTTTATGTTAATTCCTTCTCCCTTATTAATTAAATGCTGATTGCCAGTCTGCCTCTCACTTATCAGAAGGCTTATTTAATAGACAGAGGGTTTAACCCTGCCATTTTTCTTGTTTTTTGTTTGTTTGTTTGTTTTTGTTTTGCTTTGTTTTGTTTTGTGACAGGGTCTCATGTAGCCCAAGCTAGCTTTGAACTTGCTGTATGTGTTAGGGTTTCTGTTGCTATGCTAAAACACTACTGTAGTAGAATCTCGCCTTGCCAGTGAATTTGAGTTTGTGGCCACACCCCTTTGGGCGTGGCTTCTGACTTCTGATGGAGAAGGTGGAGAAGCGCAGGGTGGGCTCTGTCTTTCTTGGGTGGCAATCGCATTGGGAGGGCAGAGACCTCATCTTCTGGAGCAGGAACGACTCGGTGGTTCTTTACTATCTTTTGTGTAAGTTGTTCCCCAATAAAACACCCATTTATCATTTATCATTTATCTTGTGTCTAGTGAACTCATTAATACCCTGCCTTCACACCACCACCAGAACAACTTGGGGGTGGTCTACCATCTAGGGCATTCAGGACAGGAACTCAAGGAAGGAACCTGGTGGCAGGAGCTGAAGCAGAGACCATGGGACAGCATACCTTACTGGCTTGCTCTCGATGGCTTGCTCAGCCTACTTTCTTCTGGGGACACCAGCTCAGGGGTGGCACCTCCTACAGTGAGCTGGACCTCCCACATCAGTCATCAACCAAGACAGAAGACATTTTCTCAATTATGATTCCTTCTTCCCAGATGACCAGAAATGTGTCAGGTTGACATCAAAACTAGCCAGCACACCACAATAACCTTGAACTCCTGACCTTCCTCATGCTGAATTAGAGGTGTGTGCCACCTCAGCCTGTCCTCTCTCCTGACAAGCATCCCGGTGACTTGGGCCAGTTATTCACAGATCATCTCACAAACGCTGGTACCTTGGTGGTAAAGCTGCCATGCATGGGAAGCATTAGTTCCTGAACTCTGGCTTCTGCCCCACAGCTAACATTAACCTCACCAGTTATCAGCAACTACTTTGCTGTCAAGTCTAGACTGTTTTACCTGGTTGTCTCAGCATTTCCTGTGATCCACAGGGTGAGGTAAGGGAGGCACACGCTCTGATACTAGATGTATTTAAAACTTCGATATTTTGTCATGAACTTTATGCTAACTTTTTTTTGTCTTGGGTTTTGTTTGGTTTTGAGTCAAGGCCTTGCTGTATTATTCTACCTACTCATTATGTAGCCCAGGCTGACCTGAAACACGTGGAAATCTTCCTGCCTCTGTCACCAAGTGCCGGGATTACAGATATCAGTCCCCACACTTGGCCTTAATGTCAATATTTTGCGTATTGCATTGAAGTAGGATGTGATGAGGTCAAAAGGAAGGAGAGAGAGCAGAGCAAGCCAGGCGTGTGGGCAAATGTCTGCCATCCTGGAACTTGGAAAACAAAGGTAGAAGGACCCAGAACTCAGGGTCATCTTCAGCCGTATAACAAGCCCAAGAGTTCAATCTGGGCTGCAAGAGACCCTACCTGTCTGAAAGAAGAAGAAACGGGAGAAGAAAAAAATGGTGGATTTGATTGGGGAATTGCTTTGTGCCCTTTTAAGTTTCTGATCTAAAGCAAGTGTGTCCCTCACCTTGCCTAGTTCCAACCCTTCTACGATAGCCACTGTGCCTCCATTTTCCTTGGATCAGACAGGATCTTGCGATGTATCCCAAGCTACTACCCTCAATCATGTGATCCTCCTCTCTGGACCTCCCAAGTGCTGGGCCTTGAGGAATGTACTGTTCCTCTGGCCACTGCCCCTTTAAAGCATTCTATTCCTTGTCCTCCTCCTACCACCCCATATTTCTCTGCCTCTGCTGCAGAGTGTGTCCTACCCGCCCCTCGAGCGCTGATGCTTCCAAGGGGCATGCGTTCTGCTCACCTCTCCTCTTCTGTAGTCAGTGCATTTAATACACTGGGCTGCGTGCCTTCTCCACATGTCATATGTCTGCCTTTTAGAGGACACCGAGCCACTGCTAACAGGATGAGTCTCTGAATGGACCTAGTTTCTACACCTAGACTCATCCATAAAGTTATACTGCCATTAGGAGTATCCCAACAGGACACAATACAGTCAGAGAGCCCTCCCACCAACTACTCCAGTTATTCACCTGGAAGGAAAACAAACCAATATAACATCATTACCCTTTGCAAAACTGACCACATAAGCCTAAAACCTTTTGTCACTCTTCAACTCCCATAACAAATCAGTACAACCAATGATTTAAACAATAATAGTGACACAATCAGAAGCCATTTACTGGGTTTTTTTTTTATGTTCTAGGCCCTGAGCTCTGAACCATGCATGTATTTTGAAAGGTTGATTAGAGCTGTGTATGGTGGCACAGGCCTCTGATCCCAGCATTCAGGATGCTGAAGGAGGAGCATCTTGAGTTACAGACTAGCCTAGGCTACATAGCAAGACCCTCTCAAAAAGAAGGGGGAGGGGGAGAAGAGAAAGGGATGAAAAGGAGGAGGAGAGGGGAAGAAAGAGGAAGGGAGGGAATAGGAGAGAGGGGAAAGGAGGGAGGGAGGAAGAGCACGGATAGTAAGTAACTGAAGTCAAGGCTAGCCCGGGACACGGGGAAAGGTGACAGAAGCTTGTCAGCCTAGCTAGTAACTTAGGAAAAAGAGGCAGGAAGGGGAAAGGGGTCGGGAGGAAGAGAGGGACAATGTAGCAGTAAAGAGATGACTATGTGGGCTAATAGTCTGGCCCACACTATGATAGCAACAGGCAGGGGAGCCTGGCTCCAGAGCAAACACTATTTTTGCAGTAAAAAGCCTTTCCTAATGAGCCAATCTGTCTCTCCTTCTATTGGCACCCTGGGAACTGGGGTGCAGCAGAGATAATTCGCCTCACCCCACCCCCCAACAAAGCACCATTACCTCCAGCCCATTACATTAGCCTGTATCAGTCCTGGAGGCTCTCAGTCATCCTCATGGACTGCAATAATTCCAGCTAATTTCTTAAGTGTTCTAAGAGCCTGTGATGTGTTATGAGCCTAGTAATTGTTGACTGGCTCCCTTTCTGCTGGGGCTTGATTTCCTACCTTGCATTTGAGCTGAAGCCCGTTCTGGATGCTTTATTACAGAGAGGCTTTTTGCAAAGGCTCGCATTAAAAAATAACATTAAATACTGAGGTTGTTTTAAATCAGAGTTTAATTTTTCCTCTATTTCCTGTTATTCTTATTAGGAAGCCATGCAATTCTTCATAAGGATAGTGACCTCCAGTATAAAACTTTGAGCAAGTACAGAATGCAGAATTACTGATAAGGCTAACTCTTTTTTGTTGTTTGTTTGTTTTTCAAGACAGGGTTTCTCTGTGTAGCCCTGGCTGTCCTGGAACTCACTCTGTAAACCAGGCTGGCCTCAAACTCCCAGAGATCCACTTGTTCTGTACCCCAGGTGCTGGGGTTAAAGGGGTGCACCACCATCTCCTGGCTGAAGCTAATTCTTGGTAGAGAAGTCCAGGAATGAGGTCCAAAATAATGAGCTGTGCTGAGACCCAAGGACGCACCAGCTGTGGTTCTGAGACCATTGTGAGACTGACCATCAGTTTTCTATATACATTTGGATTTATGGGAACCTCTTTGCTCCCTAGGGAGATTGCACAGCTCAGATGGCTTGACTGCCCTGGAGGAACTTCTTAGAGAGCAGGGAGGGTTGGACCACATGGCATGGACCACCACAACTGATTCTAAGATTTTCTTTAATTCCTTTTCAGGAGTTGAAAATTTATCTGGGTGTACTCTTTTCCTGAGGTCACCACTCCCTTTAGTTCATTTCTTAATCTGTTTATCTCCTTGAATAGAGGATTTAACTCCACTCCAATCCCTGATGCTCCTTTTCTCCTCAAATGGTATGTTGTCTTGCTCCTTCTCCTTATAAATCTATATAAGAGTGACCACTAATAACCACACAACAGAGTCTTTTCTAGGCTGTTTTGAGATTTTCTCTACCAACAGAATTAATGCAAAACTCTTCACGTTCGCCTCAGGAAGACTCTTCTGACAAGGGCAAAAGGCCTTGTCAGAACACCCCAACACACAGTGAGCTGGCTCTGCCCTTCAGCCAGGGGTTCTAAACCTCAGGGTAAAAGGCACAGGTCAGCCACTTGCTCATCCTGGGCCCTGGGCAGTACTAGGGATCAGTTTAAGTGGAAAACCACCTGGGAGGGCTCCTTAACTCTGCAACAGTTATATGACCGGCTTGGATTTAGAGAAGATCCTGAGGTCCATTGGCATCTTCTTGTCTGCCGTGAGCAGGTGAGTCCCATTCCAGAGAGACTCTGGGTCTCTGGAGCAAGTCAGGCTCATGGTGTATTCAGTCCATAGAGGGTGTGTCAAAGCCCTCTGGAGGGGCCCAAGACAGCTGCGATTCTGCTCTACTCTCTCCTCCATCCTGTTCCCCATCAACTCTTCACTAGTCAGCACCATGTTGGTTGAGTACAATAAAAAATAAAGTAAAATAAAAAATAAAAACACATTTATATTAGACTAGGGAAAGGGGGATGTCTTGGCTCACTTAGCTGAGAAAGCCCAGAGGGTGGATGTATGGGAAGATGGGAAGGGAGGAGAGGGAAGGGGGAGGGAAGGAGAGGAGAGAGAAGGGAGGAGAGGGAGCTGGCAGCTGTGGGGGCTCACACCTCTAATCCCAGGAGGCAGGAAGCAGGCAGCAGAGGCAAGAGATCACTGCAAGTTCAAGGCCCGCTTGACCCGTATAGCAGTCCTAGTCTACATAGTGAGGCCCTGTCCAAAAGAAGCAGGGGGGCAGAGACTAGAAAGAGGCAGAGCCATTCTTCTGCTGGATTTAGTTCCAGCATTTTCTTGGCTGAGCACAGTAGCACATGCTTGTAATCTCAGTGTCTCCAGCAGCTGAGGCAGGATAGCAAGTTCAAGGCAGCATGGTGAGATGTAATCTAAACAAATATATGACTGGGTGGTGGTGGTGCACACCTTTGATCCCAGCATTCTGGAGACAGAGGGAGGTAGATTTCTGAGTTTGAGGGCAGCCTCAACAAAGTGGGTTCCTATATTGCATACATACATACATTACATTTTTATATATTATATACTTTAATAAATTTTAACATATATATATATATATATATATTAAAATTTAAAAATCCAAACAATTCTGTCTGCATCTGTATGTCTCCTGGTTTAGCGGCAACTTTGTGAAGGCAGTATCTTTTCCTTGAATGCCTTCAGTTCAGTGCTAAGGAGCCCTGTTTCAAAATGTTTAACTATGCAAAGATGTGTTGCTTTTGTTTAACTATGTAAAGATGTGTTACATTTGTTTATGCTGTGGAATATTTGTTTACCTATATAAAAAATGTGTTGCATATGTTTAATTATGTAAAGATGTTTCTGTTTTATGTTGCCAGCCTAAAGCACCTGATTGGTCTAATAAAAAGCTGAAGAGCCAATAGTGAAAGAGGAAATATAGGTGAGACTTCCAGGCAGGGAGAGTAAGGAGGAGGAGCAATTTAGGCTTGGGAAAAGAAAGAAAAGAAATGCCAGGGAGATGCCAGGTGCCAGACAGACAGACACTGAGAAAGCAGGAAAGTATGACATACAGAATGAAAGAAAGTTTAAAAAAAAACCCAAGACAAAATGTAGATGAATAGAAACAGGTTAAATTAAGTTAAAAGAGCTAATGAGACAAGCCTAAGATAAGACTGAGCATAATTAATGATAAGTCTCTGTGTCTTTATTTGGGAGCTGGTTGGTGGCCCAAAGAAAATGCCAACTATAGAGCCCTCAAACACCTTGCTTGTGGTCTTCTCTCTGGACAGCAATCGATACCTGATAGAATTTCTTGAGATTGGAGGTGTCCTAACCCTCTTGGAAATACTTGGCCTAGAGAAAATCAAGGAAGAGGACAAAAGAGAATCCGTCAAACTACTTCAGATTATTGCAAGTACCGGCAGGAAGTACAAGGAACTCATCTGTGAAAGCTACGGTAGGTCCTGGGTGTGCCAGCCTGTGGACACATCTCCCGATGCCTGGATGGAGTGGACAGCACCCACACTGCCAAGGGAAAAAGCTATCATAGGAAGCCAGGTGCACAGAAGAGCATTTAGTACAGTTCCCTCAGTGACCTTCTCTGTTTGTGTCACAACCAAAAGACCAGATTTATGGTTTCCCTGATTTATCATTTGCTTAAACTGTAACTGAGACAGTGGCACACACCTTTAGTCCCAGCCCTGGAGAGACAGAGGCAGGGTGATCTTTGTGAGTATGAAATCAGCCTCCTCTACATAGGACTTCCAGGACGGCTAGGGATACTAGAGAGACCCCATATCAAAAAACCAAAAATAAACAAACAAACATAGCTTGGGCTAGAAAGATGGTTAACAGCACTTGCTGCTCTTTCAGAGGGCCAAGTTCTATTCCCAGCACCCACACAATGGCTCACAAGTGTCTGTAACTTCAGTTCCAGGAGATCTGGCACTGTCTTCTGGCTTCTGCAGGCACCAGATTCAAAAGTGGTACTGACATGCATGCTGGCAAAACACTCAAACTGAACTTTAAAAGGAATAACCACTTAAAATTATTGAACCAGGTGGTGGTGGCACATCCCTTTAATCCCAGCACTCAGGAGGCAGAGGCAGGCAGATCTCCATGAGTTCGAGGCCATCCTGGTCTACAAGAGTGAGTTCCAGGATAGCCATCAGGCTTACACAGAGAAACCCTGTCTCAAAACACAAAGAAAGAAAGACAGAAAGAAAGACAGACAGACAGACAGACAGACAGAAAGAAAGAAAGAAAGAAAGAAAGAAAGAAAGAAAGAAAGAAGAAAGAAAGAGTTATTGAATGCCAACTGTGCTGGGGATTAGGGAAGAAAGATGAAAAATATGGCCTCTAAAACTAAGCGTTGTGATACACACCTGCAATCCCAGCAATTGGGAGGTGAAGGCAGGAGGATCAGAAGTCCAAGTTCATCCTCAGCTACACAGTTTGAGGACAACCTGGAAACCACGATACCCTGTCTCAATAAATAATAATAGTGATAACGATGATGATGATGATTGATGATGATGATATAGCAGGCTTTCTCGGACCATCAGCCCCCAAATAATGACATGGGGACTTACTATTAGTTATGAATGCTCAGCCTTAGTTTAAGCTTTTCAAATTAACCTGTTTTTTCTTCATCTACATTTTGCCTTCATGGGTTTTACCTTACTTTCATCCTGTGTGTCCTACTTCCCTGCTTCCTCCATGCCTGGCTGGCTGGTGGCTGCCTCTTTTTCTTCCTTGTTCTCTCCTGAGCCTAGATGCCTCCTACTACTTACTCTCTCTGCCCACCAGCCCTGCTTATCCCTCCCCTGACTAGCTATTGGCCACTCAGCTTTTAATTAGACCAATCAGGTGCCTTAGGCGGCCAAGGTAAAACAAATGCAACGCATCTTCTTTACATAGTTAAACAAATATTCTGCAACATAAACAAAATGCAACACTTCTTTGCCTAGTTAAACAAATATTCCACAACATTTTCTCCTTTTTGTCTAAATAAAAAGAAAGGCTTTGAGTCGGGCATCAGTAGTGCACGCCTTTAATTCCTGCACTTGGGAGGCAGAGGCAGGCGGATCTCTGTGAGTTCGAGGCCAGCCTGGTCTCCAGAGTGAGTGCCAGGATAGGCTCCAAAGCTACACAGAGAAATCCTGTCTCGAAAAACAAAAAAAAAAAAAAAAAAGAAAGGTTTTAACTTTAACATAGTAAAACTATATACAATAAGAACAGTTATCAAGTAAGAATTACATTTACAATACCCAGTCCCTTTGCATTTGGTAAATTCAGAGAAACCATTCTATTATCTATCCTATCTTGATGAGTCCAAAATATTGTACCTAATTTAGCTTCTATCATAACTAAGGAAAACTGTAACTGTAACCATCTAGTCTTCAACTCCATCAAAGACCCCAGAAGGATATATTATTAACTGAAGTGCAAGTCACTTCCAAAACCATAAAAAAGACAGAGACTTCTGGCTACCTGGACAGTCACCCACATTTCCTCTGCATTGCTGGGGCATCCATCTTCAGCCTATAGGCCTAGAATGTCTGACAGATTTTTCTGTGATGCGGGAACTTTGAAGGATTGTCCTACCCTGTCTTGGCAAAGTTCAGCAGTCACTTTATTTTGTGTTCTGCCTGTCCAGTTTGTACAGCATACTGTCAGCAGTCAAGGCAGGGGTAGTTTCTTGCTGAAATGACTAGCTTTGCCACAATGAAAGCAAACTCCATATGGAGGTCCTTTGATGCCCATCATCTTCTCTAAAGGACATTGGTGCAGACATGTCTCACTGTCATAAAAAGCTCTATGTTAACAAAGCATTTTAAAAGGTGAAAGATTTATATGATCTGAAGAGAAACCAGAGTATTTAAATGTCATATTCTATAGGTCTCTGAAGCATTTGACAACCACTGTCTATCTAAAATATTTCTATTTAACATTGAAAACACATCTATTATGACTACGAGTTTAATTATTATAGATGACTAACTGCTAACCTGCATTTTTTAAAGATTTATTTATTTGTAATGTATACAGTGTTCTGCCTGCATGTATGCCTGCAGGCCAGAAGAGGGCACCAGATATCATTACAGATGGTCTTGAGCCACCATGTGATTGCTGGGAATTGAACTGGGGACTTTTGGAAGAACAGCCAGTGTTCTTAACCACTGAGCCATCTCTCCAGCCCCAACTTGCATTTCTTAGTTATACATTACATAAGCACAATACCCCAAACAAGAGTGGAAACATACAATATTACAAAAATATCTTTTAAATTTGTATTATTATACCAAAATTCATACCAATGTAAAATATTTGAGGTTAGTAGTTCTCCTTTTATCCAATATTCCTATATTCCCCTTAAACAATGACAAACATCCATAACCCACAGAATGACCAAAAACCACCCACCCCACCTCTTGAGAATGTGGGTGTTGTATTCTCTAACTGCTTTCTGTTGTCTGGGGGTGACAGCTTATCCAGGGAACCCTGAGAAAATTGAGAGAATGGTCAAGCCCTAGGAAAACTAGTTCTAACATCTGTCCAGTCTCAGAACTGTCCCTGTGCAGAGGGATCAGCATGTACACCACCTGTCTTGTAGTTTTTCCTGGTTTATTTATGTTTGTAGCCAAGATTTTCAGGAGGTCTCCCCCATCAAACCTGATTTCTATTAACTTTGAAGGAATCCACAGTCTTTTGTTTCTTGTGGAAACACAAGCATAACCTCTCCTCCAACATAATACATTTTCTGAATTCCATTTTAAAGTTAAGACACCCCTAAAGTGTCTAGGCTGGTTTAATTCAACAGTTCTTTTTACAATCCCATGTCTCTCAGCAGCTGTGGGTCACTCATCAGCATTCAAAAAATTAAAAATCAATATAATACCATTCAGGATCCAGACTCCCTGTGTGTTCCCCATCTTTGTGTGGCTTTTTCCCCTTTATATTACTTTATTCTCTTGAAAGACTCTTATTATTTTTAGACTACTTACATTTTTCTATGACCATCTATATCCATTTCTTTTCTTTCTTAAGCCTACACACATTTTTAAACACATTGTAACCTGTTTAGAGTTTTTTTCCTGTCGGACCTGTCTTTACTGCATGTCTCTAGCCTTTTCTGACTTCATGAGCCAAACCTTAACCTACTAAGCACTATCTAGGGCCTCTGCCCAGGCTCTGGTGACTGGCTCCACAGCATCCTCCATCCCTGAGAACCCAGGCCTAAGCCTGTTTAAGCATTTAACTGGGAGCTGCATTTAATCACCCCAGCACTAGGAAGCTGGTGGCGAGTGTTTCTACTCAGCTTGCTGTTTTTACTTAGCTTACTGGCTACTCAAGTGCTCACTGTACAGCAGAGCCTCTTAAAGGAGCTGTATCTGGTTTTTTGTTGATGTTGTTTGACTGTTTGGTTGTTTTTGTTTTTTTTAGGGGGTTGTTTTGTTTTCTTTAGCTTTATCAGGCCCTATGTAGAAATTCAGGCCCCACGTTGGAATGCCAGTAAAAGGCCCTGTCCTTAAAAAGATTACAGCCAGATGAGTATAGTAGCAGACAACATTAATCCCCAATACTCAGGAGGCAGAAACAAGCAGATCTCTGTGAGTTTGAGGCCAACCTGGTCTACATAATGAGTCCCAGGACATCCAGAGATACATAGTGTCTTAAAAAGAAAACAGTTCCATGCCCAGCATGGAAAACAAAACTGCATTTTGAAATTTGAAACGAGCCTACAAAATGTATAGGTGGAACAATTTCTGATGTTCTTTTGCTGAACAGCAAACTCGTGGTCTCATGAATTCAGGGTAAGAACTTTTCCCTCTAAGCTACGCGCGCGTGCGCGCGCGTACGCGTGTACACACACGCATGCATGCACGCACGCACGCACACACGCACGCACACACACATACTGGCCTGTGCTGCACAAAACTATTCTGGCCACATAGCTGGAAGTAAAACAACAGTAATGCAGCATGAAAATTGATCCTTAACTTGCTTTGGTTAAACAAGCTTGATTGAAAAGCTTTTAAAGCAATCCCCGTTATGCAGCCTTGAGTGGGAATTGTTTTCCTAAACCCTGTCCTAGTTAGCATTGTCTCTTCTTCGCCCAGGTGTGAGATCCATAGCAGAATTTCTGGCGAAGTCTCAATCAGAAGAGACCCAGGAGGAAGTACAGATTCTGCTGGATACTCTGCTCCATGGTAACCCCAAGTACCAGAACCAAGTGTATAAAGGTCTAATAGCTCTGCTGCCCTGTGGGTCCCCCAAAGCCCAGCAGCTGGCCCTGCAGACTCTCAGGACTGCCCAGGTGAGCCACAGCTATGCTCCGGAGTTCTGATTCAAATGGCATAGTCTTACAAGTACCTTTCCCGGAAGCACTTCCCACAGAGGTGGAGCTCAGCCTCCCACTGCCTGTGTGCTACTCAGTCAGCATCAAGGCGGGGCAGGGGGTTCATGTCTCCCAGCAGAGCAATTTGTGCTGTTTATTTAAGGATCAGAAAGATATTGGCAGACTTCAAAGTGGTTGAGACAAGCAACAAGGATGACTAGGGAACTGTAGAAAAGGTTAAAGGCACGCATTTGACGGGGAGGGAAGCATGGCCCTTCTGTCGCCAGTGTGTGAGTCAAGAGGCCAGATCTCACTGATTAGAAAAGCTTTTTGCTTTCTTGGCTTCTGCCCTAGAACGTGAGTGAAGTCAGGTTTGGGTTATCATTCCTACTAAGGAGGGGAACGTGGTTTTGACATGAATGGTGGAAACTCTCACAAATGCTCCAGAGCACATGCTGGAGGGCAGCAGATAACCAAAGGGCCTCGACGGTGGCAGTGGGAGTGGGTGCAGAGTGACCAAGGTGGGTAGACATTTTTGGGACCAAAGTCATAGAACTAAGAAAAGACATCAAAACAGGCAGTGGTGACGCACACTTTTAATCCCAGCATTCGGGAGGCAGAAGCAGGTGGAGCTCTAAGTTCTGAGTTCAAGGACATCCAGGGAGACGCAGAGAAAGCCTGTCTTAAAAAGAGTCAAAGACGCCGATGACGTCTAGCTTTGGGCTTTGCCAATAGGGTGAGTTATACAGCGCTGAGAGAGAAGAAATAAAGAGGAGAAACCATGGGGATATGGGAGGGGTTAGGTCTGAATTTCATGGACCATGGCAGCTCCCAAATGGCTCTTGATATGCTTTGGCCTTTTAAATTCCCAAGGGGTTCTGATTCTTAGCTCAGTTTAAGAACCACTGCTTAGCCAGGGGGTGGTGGTGCACGCCTTCAATCCCAGCACTCAGGAAGCAGAGGCAGGTGGATCTGAGTTTGAGGCTAACCTGGTCTACAAACCAAGTTTTGGGACAGCCAGGGCTACACAGAGAAGCCCTGTCTCAAAAAACCAAATGAAAGAGAGAGAACCACTGCTCAGAACTGCTGGAGAGGCTACTGGCCATGGAAAATTAAAGGCCGAATCTCCTTGGAAAGGCCTAAGATGAGGACAGCAGTTTGGATTTCACAGTTAATAACAATTGAAGCTGAAGTAAATAAAACTCCCCAGGCCAAATGCACAAAATCAGGAGAGAAGAAGGGACACCTCCTGGAGCTGAGCTGAGGGGGGCTGCGGCTCAGACCTGAGGATCCCTGGAGTTCCCACCCAGGCCTCCTATCTCCCCCCCCCCCGGCCCTCCCCCGACACACACACACACACACACACACACATTTGCTCTTTCTGTCTTCTTAGTAGCTGGTGCATGTGGGGTAGGTAAAGTTTGAAGAGGTAAAACTAAAAGCCAAGGTTCCGGAGAAAGACATTTCAGAATCTGGGATGAGTAGTTCTCCCCCCTTGAGTCCTCCCTTCCCCAGGCAAAGTCTTGGCCCTTGGTCCTGCATGTTTTAACAGCCAGAAGACTTGGATTAATGCGTTTTGTGCTAAAGACTGCAGTGTCAGTTCACCCCACAGCTGGGCTGTCTACGAGTCCTCATTTCACTTCATCTAGGCCTAAAAAGTCAACCCTCTTGCCCTCTTGTCTGTCTCGCCAGTCAATCATTGGAGCCACACACCCCAGCATCGTGGACTGCGTGCTGACCGTCCTGGGCACAATGCATCTGGAGGTCCAATATGAAGGTAGGAAGGCCTCCAGCTCACCAAAGGCAGCAGCAACGGCACATTCTCCTAAGTCTCCCTCCAATCATAAAGAGCCTGTTGCTGAGTGTCTAAAATAGCATTGACAGAGGGGAAAGGCTGGTGTAGTATCAACCAGCAAGTTACTCAGAAAATGATAGTTGTATTTCATTTGTTTGAGCAGTTGTTAGAACCTGCTAGGTCCAGAGCTGTCTCTCATGTGGTTCTTGCCCTCTGCACTGAAGCCCCTCCCTGCCACCACATCCAGCTAATTGCTGTGATTTTAACACCTGCATATGTTCCAAGAGTCAGAATTATGAATGAATGAATGAATGAATGAATGAATGAATGAATTCTATCAGTGATAAGATGCTCATCCAGTATGCACAGGCCTGGGTTGGACTTAAGCACTTAGAAAAAGAAAAAGAAAGCCTAACGTGGTGGTACAGACGTCTATCCCCAAGCTGAGACAGGAGATTGGAGAATTCCAGGCCAGCCTGGGCTACATAATGAGACTGTCTCATAACATAACAGAAAACACGGTAGGGAATGTCTTTCTTAAAACAAAAACAACTAGCTAATTTGGGCATTAATGGCACCCATAAGTTTCTATTTATTGAGTTTCATTTGTTGAAATGGGTTATTTCACTGATTTCTCAAAATAATCCTAGGAGTACAAAGCCTGGGACTTTCCAGGCTGTCAGATGGTTAAGGAGGTGAATGGTGGAAGTGTCTGGTGATGGCTTCTTGATTTTTGTTTTTTTGTTTTCTTTTTCCTGTTGAGGCTGTTGTGCAGTCTAGACTGGTCTTGAACTCTCTATCCTCCTCTGTCAGCTTCCCCAGTGCTGGGATTACAGGCATGCAGCCCCACACGAGGCCAAGTCTGGTCTTGAGCTCACGAGCCTCTCAACTCTACCTCCCTCCTGGGATCGTGAGCCCATCCCACTGCTGGGTTCGGGAAACCTGACTTGGGCAATGAGAGAGTGAGGCAAGGATGGACAGACAGACAGACAGGAACACACACACGGGGTGGGGGTGGGGCTGGAATCAGGTGGGTTTAAGCACTCTAATAGAGGGTACCAGCAGCAGTACTGATTTCCTACATCTGAATCCAGGAGTAGGTGTATTGTGGATAGCTGAAAAGGAGCACTAGGGGCTCTGTAGGCAAGCAGTCTCAGCTGTAAATATCTGGGAGGAGGAAGCAGAGGTTGATGGTTTCTGGACACACCGGTTTTAGCTAAAGACCACTCACTCATCCTAATTTGTGCTTGGTCCTGGGGAACCAAGTCCCTCTGAGCCTCACCCAGGGAAGGCTTTACCATTTCAATGACTCTGAGGCTCTGGGGTCCTTGACAGGGCTGTGCTTGAGTCAATGACACACATTAGTTCAGGACTTCATTTGTGGCCAACCCTCTTAAATAGCATAGCACTGTGTCCTGTTAGAATTGACAGGACCTAGGGACTGAAGATATGGCTTACTGGTGAAGAGCACTGGCCACTCTTCCAGAGGACCCAGGTTCAATTCCCAGCACTCCAGTTTGAGGGGAGCTAACACTTCACACACACACATGCAGAAGAAACATGAATGTACATGCAATAAATAAGTAAGCGTCAACAGGATCATATAAACACCACACCTCAGTGGGAAGAAGGCCAGATAATACTGTGGCCTGTTCATAAAACCACCGCAGAGGGAGGTGACGTTCTATAACCAAATGTGATAAACTTCTCTCCCCTCCTTCAGCTGCTCAGTTTAAAAATGGGCTCTGTGTGTGTGTGTGTGTGTGTGTGTGTGTGTGTGGTGTATATTACTGTGGGTGTTCACAGAGGTCAGAAAAGGACACTGGATCCCCTGAAAACCTCTAGAATTTCTTTTAACAACCATCCCACTTAAGCTAAGTAAGTCAAAGTCAGAACTGAGAGAGGCCTTCTCCAAAGTGGTCCTGCCTGGAATTTATCTCCATGTATAACTGCTTTGAAGTGAAAAATAGCATTTTCTTCTCAGGAAAGATTGCAGTTCCAGGAATTGATGGCAAGAGGGGACTTATCAGAACTAGCAGTTAAAATGACAAAAACAGTCACTCATTGTGTCCTTTCCCTAGAGGAGAGACCCTAGAGAGGTTAAAGCCCACAAGCGTGAGGCCAGCCTCCTGAGCTAAATAGTGAGCCCTGTCTCAACCAAAAAAAAAAAAAAAAAACAGGGCTGGTGAGATGGCTCAGAAGGTAAAGACACATGCCACCAAGCTTGTCAACCTGAGTTCAAGCCCCAGTGTCCACATGGACTGAAAGGAAAGAACTAGTTGTCCTTTGACATCCACAGCACACCATTGCTTATACATACACATAAACACACACAATAAGTAGGTTTTTAATTTCACATTTTATTTTATTTTGGAGGCAGTGTCTCACTATGTAGACCTGGAACTCACAGAGTCTGCCTGTCTGTTTGTCAAGTGCTTAGATTAAAGGCATGTATCACCACATCCAGCTAAATGTAAATCACATTAATTTTTATTTTATGATATGGGTGTTTTGCCTGAATGCATGTCTGGTGCCTGTGGAGACCAAAAGAAGGCACTGGATCCCCCTGGAACTGGAGTCACAGTTGTTAGTTGCCCTATGGGAGCTGGGAGCTGAACCCAGGTCTTCAGAAAGAGCAGCCAATGCTCTTAACAGCTGAGCCATCTCTCCAGTACCTTAAAAACCTTTAAGGGAAATTAATGAGCTCAATTGGAAATCTTAAAAGGAGGAAGGTGTGACTCAGTGGTGTCATATTCCCCAGCACTGTAGGAAAAAGAAAAGAATAAAGGAACTATATCTAATTCAATGTAAACTATTTAAAACTAGTAGTTACTTTATAAGAGTAGGTTCAATAACTTACCTTTTATATTTATATTCCCCCTTTTTCCTTTTCAGAATAGATTCAATAATCTACTCTTTTAATCTATCATATCTGTATTTCCCTTTTTTCTTTCAAAACAAGAACTCAAGCTGGGCAGTGGTGGCATACACCTTTAATCCCAGAGCTTGAGGGCAGAGGCAGGAAGATCTCTGTGAGTTTGAGGCCAGCCTGGTCTACAGAGTGAGTTCCAGGACAGTTTCCAAAACCACACAGAGAAGCCCTGTCTTGAAAATCAAACGGAAAAGATACCTGAATCTAATCTCCTTTGTTTAGCTTTTTCCCTGACCATTCCCAATAACTACTTGTAACCATTCCCCTTGATGGGGAAGTCCTTCTGTATATAAGTTTCTTATTGGTTGATGAATAAAATACTGATTGGCCAGTAGAAGCAGGAAGTTAGGCGGGGCTATAAAAGGAAGGAGAGAGGAAGGCATAGAGAGGCTGCAGAGAAACATCTCTGTCTCCCCAGTGCTGGGATTAAAGGTGTGTCGCTCCAAGTGCTGAAGTCACCTTTGTGTGAGCTCTGTTTCTCTTTTAGACTGGATCAATTTTGTGTAGCCCAGGGTGGCCTTGAAGTAACAGAGATCTGTCTGCCTCTGTCTCCCAAGTGCTGGGATTAAAGATAATATGCCACCACTGCCTGGCCTCTGTGGCTAACTAGCATGACTGCTGGGATTAATGGTGTGTGCCTTGTCTCCTGCCACCAAAAAAAGCAGAGACAAATGGTATTTGACCTTTTTTTTTTTTTTTTTTTTTTTTTTTTTTTTTGTTTTTTTGGGTTTTCGAGACAGTTTTTTTTTGAGTGGCCATGGAGCCTCTCCTGGAGCCCAGGCTGGCCTCAAACTCACAGAGATCCACCTGCCTCTGCCTCCCGAGTGCTGGGATTAAAGGTGTGTGCCACCAATGCCCGGCTAAGCCCTTGATTCTATGGCCTCAGCTTCCAGAATGCTGGGATTACAAGCATGTGCCACCACATCGGGCTAGTAAGCATTTTCTGTACATTAGTGTTTAAGGGTCAGGAATCTGATGACAACAGCTTAATTGAGTGCTTCATTTCTTCCAGCTTAAAAATAATCTATTTTTATTTCATTTGTATTGGTATTTTGCCTGCATATATGTCTGTGTGAGTGTGCAGAATCTTGTTAGAGACATTTGTAGGCTGCTTTGTAGGTGCTGGGAATTGAACCCAAGTCCTCTGGTAGAGGAGTCAGTGCTTTTACCCTCTGAGCCATCTCTCTGCCACCTGCCCCCTTGTGTCTCTTATTTTATAGCCCAGGCTGACTTTCAATCCTCCTGCCTTAGGCTCCTAAATTCTGGAGTTACAGGTGTGTATCACCATAGCCAGCTCTGACTCGGGTTCCTTTGTGAGGTTTTCCAGGCAAAGATGTCAGCCAGACTGCTGTCACCTGAGGGCTGGGCATATATATCACTCTCCATGTTGCCATGTGACTCACTCCAAGTCCTCTGAGATAGTACGGCAAGGGCACAGGAAGCTGCAGCTCTTCATTATGGAGACCTTTGCTCATGGCTGCTGAGTGTCCTCACAACATGGCAGTGGTATCTCTCAGAGAGATCCAGCCTGGTGTGGTGGCACACGGCTATAATCCCAACTTGGGAAGAAGCAGCAGTTAATGGAGCTCTGTGAGTTTCAAGCCACCCCAGTCTAGAAATCAAGTTTAAAGGCAGCCAGAGCTACACAGTGAGACGAGAGAGAGAGAGAGAGAGAGAGAGAGAGAGAGAGAGAGAGATGCAAGGGCCTCCCAGGCCTTCCAAAGGCCTGCAAAATGGATCAGCAGGTAAAGATGCTTGCCTTCAAGTCTGACGACCTGAACTGGGTCCCTGGAACCAACATGGTGGAAGGAAAGAACTGACTCCCAAAAATTGTCCTCTGACCTCCATAGGTGTACTGTGGTGTGCAGTACCTATTTGCACACACATACACATCTGTAAAATAGATAACTAAAAATGAAAACAGACCAGGCAGTGGTGCCACACCTCTTTAATCCCAGCACTTGTGTGGCAGAGGCAGGCCAATCTCTGTGAATTCAAAACCAGCCTGGTCTACACAGTCAGTTTCAGGACAGCCAAGGCTAAACAGAGGAACCCTGTCTCAAAAAAAAAAAAAATGAAAACAATAAAAATAGAAAATAAACAAAAATACGTAAATAAAAAGGGTTATTGGACAGAGCAAGAAAGACTCCCTAAGCACTCTCTACCTGTATGCTTCTTCTGCTTGATCTTGGCAGCAAGAAGCCAGTCCAGCTCCCACTCACAGAAAAGTAGGTTCCCTCCTTGAAAAGAACAAGAGCCATACTAACATGTTGGTGGAGCCATCAGGATGGCTCAGCAGGTAAAAGCCTTTGCTGCCAGACCTGATGCCCTGAGCTCAGTTCCCCAAAAGCACATAAAGATGGTGTAGAGAGGGGCTGGAGAGATGGCTCAGTGGTTAAGGGTAGTGACTGCTCTTCCAAAGGACCTGAGTTTAGTTTCCAGCAACCACAAGGTGTCTGTCTCACAACCACCTCTAGTGGGATCTAATGCCCTCTTCTGGCATTTGCAGATAGAGCACTCATATGCATAAATAAAACTTTAAAGAGATGGAGGACAGAACTGACTTCACCATGTGTTCTCTGAGTCCAACATGCATGCTGTGGCACGTGGACCTCCACAACCACACACATCAGACACTCACAAATGATAAAAACATATAGACTTTTTAAAACTAGGTAGGAATATTTGAAATCTGCCATTCTGTCTTATGAAAACTGCCGAGACGGGGCATATCAAGTGTATGTGTGATATGTGCACTGAGGCAGCAGGGTGCAGAGTTCAGATGACCACATGGTATGACACTGTCCTTTTTGTTCCCTTTGGTTTTTTGAGACAGTCTCTCTATAAATTCCTTGGCTATCCTGGAACTTGCTCTGTAGACCAGGCTGGCCTCCAACTCAGAGAAATCCACCTGTCTCCTCCTCCCAAGTGCTAGGATTAAAGGCAAGCACCACCACTGCTCATATTGATGTCTGTCCCTGCACCTGTAACTCACAGTGTGAGCTGGGCTAGACAGCTTGGCCCTGGCACCCCCTGTCTCTAGCTCCCTAGTGATGACAATCCACTCCAGCCACCATGCTAACCCAGCATTTACCTGGGTGCTGGGGACATGAACTCTACTTCTCACGCTTGCTTTCCAAGTGCTTTCGCTTCTGACCCTCCCAGGCCATTTAACACAGCCATGTATTTGTTTATTATTTATGGGGAACACGTGCATGCTACAGGGGTGTGAAGGTCAGAGGACAGCTAGCAGAACTGTTGTCCTTCTGCCATGTGGTCCTTGGGATCTTAGTCACTTAGTTTGGCTTCAAGTGCCTTTGTCCACTGAACCATCTCATCAGCCTCCCCAGCACTTAAAAATAATCTCCAAAAGTATTTATAGATGGGCATGGTGCCACATCTCTGTAATCCCACAAGAAGACAGCTGTAACAGGAGGATTGCCACAAGTTCAAGGCCAGTGTGGTCTACAAAACTAAAACACTGAAGAGTCTGTGTCTAATAGTCAGTCAATCAGTTTTTGGTGTTTCAGCATTGGGTCTTTGATTATGATGTAGTGAAAATGTAGTGGATCTGTCTGTTTTTAGTGCTTCAGCATTAGTATTTGAATAGGGTGCAGTTAAGAGGGTAGCAGAGCACACAGCAATCAGAGCACATGACTGACTGGTCAGCTACAGCCTGCCAAGCACATTCTGCTGGAAAAGACCATCTATGTAGACACGCGCTTCCTCGGTACAGCCAGAAGGTGGCAGTCTTGTCTAGAAGTGCATAGTAAACTAGCACCCTGATTTCCCAAGACTCGAGAAGCAAAGAATTCTGCTGCTTGTGACTCCAGAATATGTGGACACCTTGGAAGTGGCTGCATGTGTAAAAAATTTTAGATTTATTCTGTGCACTCTAAGGACTTCTTCATCTTGATCTAGAAAATGATTATATTTATACATATATTTATAGACATATTATTACTTCCCTAAACACAGATTCTACAGAGGAGGCTCAGGGAGGTGCTGGTTAGCTGAACTTTATGTAGAGCTAAGCAAAGGCATCAAGGCTTCCAGTTATAGAGGGGCCGGAAGTGGCTGCAGGCTCTGGGAGTTTGAGGGGAGGAGGCAGGAAGCAAGGGTTTTCTGGTTACACAGAGTCCCCAAAATAAAATCTATCTGTGATAGTGTATGTTTGGACAAGCGTCAAATCCCAACCTCTTCTTGCCATGAAAAGATCTTTCCTGCACTCCTTCAATCCCAGCACTCGGGAGGCAGAGGCAGGCAGATCTCTGTGAATTTGAGACCAGCCAGCCTGGTCTAAGAGCTAGTTCCAGGACAGCATCCAAAGCCAGAGAAACCCTGTCTCCAAAAACCAAACACACTAAAAACAGCAACAACAAAAACCCAACAAAACAAATAGCTCTAAATACTCACACATACATTCGAGCACATTCTCTTGCACACACATAGAAACACATACCCCTAAGTGTGATACTTTCCCCACATTTGAAATATCCCAGGTGATGGGGAAGACAGAGTTTTTCTGGGTAGCCTTTATTAGGCTGGAATTTGCTATGTAATGCAGGTTATCCTCAAAGAACAATGGCCCTGCCTCAGTCTTTCCTCAGCCTCCTAAGTGCTTAGAGAGCAAGTCTGTGCTACCACACTGAGCTGCATAGGAAGTGACTGTGTGTATACATAAATGCATGCATACATACATACATACATACATACATACAGGGTCTTGATCTGCCTAAAGCCTGAACTCTCTTCAAACTCACAATCCTCCTGCCTCAGCCTCTTCAGGGCAGGAACTGTGGGCATCTCCCTACAGAAAGTGTCTGTGAAGGAAGCAGGTCTTCTAGCCACCATTCCTGATTATTTGTTTTTTCTTTAATGGCCTGGAACTCCTGATTCTCCTGCCTCAACTTCCCAAGTACTAGGATTACAAGCAAGTTGGGGGCATTTGCATGTCACGCTGCACCTGTGACAGTCAGGAAAACCTGGTGGAGTCACTTCTCAACTCTCTTTACCTGGTTTCTGGGGATCAACCTCAGGGCAATAATGTAAGATGGAGAGGCTCAAAAAACAAAAGACCCAGCCCATTCCTGAGGATGTAGCTAAGGGGTAGAGTGTTTGCCTAGAATGTAGGAGCCCTGGGTTTGATCCCTAGGGATCAGATTCTTAAGATAAATGAAATCTGTCCCAGCCTGGCCCTTTCCTTCTCCATCAAACCTGAATTCCTCCAAGCTGTTGCCAGGCAACTCATTTCTATGGCCGTCAACCTCCAGCTCTGACCTGGAGGCCTTTCCTGGGTGGGCTCGCCATCCCCTCCTTCCTCTGACTCCTCCTCTTGCCGGTGTCTACTCACTAGCTCCAGATGGGCAGGAAGTGTAACCTCCCCATACAAGGCCTTTCCAGTTTCTGAGCAGCAGAAAGCACAGGAGAGGTGGTGATGGAGAGAGCAGAGTAGAAGGTAGTGAGTTCTGGAGGACCAGGGGCCTCTCCAGCATCTCTGTCCTCCCCAGCCATCGAGCTGATAAAGGACCTGATCCACTATGACGTGCGGTTGCCTCTGCTCAAGGGCCTTGTGGCACTGCTTATCCCATCCGTCAAGGAAACTTCCAAACTGCAGGCCAACATCTTCACTGGTAGGACTCCTGATACGGGGCTGCCCCTGGAGGAGGGAAAGGGCTTCCTGGCTAATGGTCCCTCGTTTCTTCAGAGTCATCGATTCTCCAGGTCACCACCCAGCTACCAGTGTTCTTGAAGCAGGCTGCAGCCGCCAAGACCATTGGGTAGGCCAACAGAGGGAGTGGGTGATTGCAGAAAGCCACGCCTGATACTGTCTGCGGGCCCAGGCACTCGTCTGTCTCCTGAATCCTGGGATTAAAAGCAGGCGCCAGGAGCCGGGCGTTGGTGGTACATTCCTTTAATCCCAGCACTCGGGAGGCAGAGCCAGGTGGATCTCTGTTGAGTTCAAGACCAGCCTGGTCTACAAGAGCTAGTTCCAGGACACCCTCCAAAGCCACAGAGAAACCCTGTCTCGAAAAACAAAACAAAAAAAATCATGCGCCATTGTGCCCAGATTATAACAATATTAGTTTATGGTTGGGCATGTACTTGCAAGGCAGAGGCCGGCAGATTTCTGTGAGTTCAACCAGCGTTGTCCACATAGTGAGTTCCAGGCCAACCAGAGTTTTATAATAAGATCCACTCTCAATAAAAAATAAATAAATAAAAAAGACAGACAGACAGACAGACTGACAGACAGACAAGCCCGGCAGTCATAGCATTTAATTCCAGAACTGAGAAGGCAGGGGCAGGCAGATTTATGTGAGTTTGAGACCAGCCTGATCCACAGAGTGAGTTCCAGGACAGGCTCCAAAGCCACAGAGAAACCCTGTTCCGAAAAACAAAACAAAAGACAGACAGAAGTGTATGGTTATGGGCTTCTCAAGGAAGAATAGCAGCTCATTGTCTTGTTTTTTGTTGTTTTTCCAATAAGGTCTCTCCATGACAGAGAGTCTATGTAGATGAGGCTGTCCTGGAACTCTCTACATAGACAGGCTGGCCTGGAACTCCCAGAAATCCATCTGCCTCTGCCTCCTTAGTGCTGGGAAAAAAGGCATGTGCCACAAAGCCCAGCTCTTCTGGAATTCTTCTTTCTCAGCTAGAGAGAGAGAGGCTTCAGACTTGGGGTGAGGGACTCCTTTCCCTTCCTATGTCCCTGTCTTCTTGTCCTTCCTCAAAGGATCCTGGCACGAAGTGACTTGAAAGTGGCAGAGGAGCTGCTGTACCTGCGCGTGATCCACAGCCTGATGACAGCCATGGGCAACACCGACCACAGCAACAGCCAGAGACTGGCCAGCCTCACTCTAGAGGTGCCTGGGCTTGGGTGGGCGTGTGGCAGACTGCAGGGCATGGGCAGTCAAGTCAGCAGACACCCACACTGTCTTGCCACCCATCCACCTTCTGCTGCAGTTCTTTGTGCAAATGTTCCCACTGGTGGAGGAACATGTCCACAAGTCCATGGGGGAGGAACTCTACCAGCTCTTCCTTGTAAGTATTTCCCTTCCCACCAGCCTCAGGAGTTTCCCAGGACAGAATGGTACCCATTGTGCACACAGGAATCCAGTCTCCTGACTTGGACACACACACACACACACACACACACACACACACACACACACACACACACACACACACACAGTCTTCTTGTCCCCTACCTGCCCTAGCTAGTAAGCTGGGAGCAGGACCTCTCTGCCTCCGCAGCTCTGCTTACAGTTAACCTTCCTCTCAGGCCCCACTCCAGGAGCACACTGCCCTGGTGCCAGGCAGGCTCCCTGTGCTTCTTTCCTTAGAGCAATGCTGAGATCTTGTATGCAAAAATGGATAGCATTCAAGCAGACATCTTGGCAGCCAACAAAGTCAATGTTTCCAAAGGTGAGCATCGGGTGAGGGGACCCAGAGCCCAGGCAGAGCCAGCAATCAGGCTCATGCTGACCTTTGCTGCCTGCAGCGTTATGCCTCTGTGAAGGCACCACCAACAGCTGCTTCAGCTTTTTCATGGGTCCTGGAGATGTGAATGAGGTGGAATATGTCACCCACTTTGAGAAGCATCAACCAGAATCCAAGGAGTGACAGCATCCCTGTGGCAAACCAGGAAGGCCGAGACTGTGCCTCATGGAAGCCTGCCTGCCAGGAGGAAGGCATTGAAGACAATGCCTCTTGGTTCTAGGTGGGAATCTGGGAGTCAGAAAACCCAGTGGGGGAGGGGAAGCTGTTGCTGCAGAAGGGTCTAATAAAGAGTTGTCATGCCTGGACTGTGTGGTATGGAAGGAACAGAGAGCTACAAAAGCAGTGTAAGAGGGTTGGGGAGTGCTCCTGCTTATCAAAAGCTAGTAAGCTGGGAGCAGGACCTCTCTGCCTCCACAGCTCTGCTTACAGTTAGCCTTCCTCTCAGGCCCCACTCCAGGAGCACACTGCCCTGGTGCCAGGCAGGCTCCCCCTGCTTCTCTCCTTAGAGCAATGCTGAGATCTTATATGCAAAAATGGATATAATTCAAGCAGACATCTTGGCAGCCAACAAAGTCAATGTTACCAAAGGTGAGCAGGGGGTGAGGGGACCCCCTCAAGGGAAGGGTCATCAAGACTCTGGAAGAGCTCCAGGGCATCCTGTGACCTGAATGGAGGCCCTTGATCCTTTAAGACAGTGGTTCTCAACCTTGCTAATGCTGCTACCTACAGTCCCTCGCGTTGTGGTCCCCCCTCCACAGCCATAAAAGTATTTTCACTACTACTTCATAACTGTAATTTTGCTACTGTTATGAATCATAATGTAAATATCTGTGTTTTCCTATAGTCTTAGGCGACCCTTGTAAAAGGGTTGTTTGACCCCAAAGGGGTCATGACCCACAGATTGAGAACTGCTGCTCTAAGTTATCATACAAATATACCCAAACATGCACACACACACAGAAGCACAGAGGCACACACACACACACACACACACACACGCACACGCACACGCACACGCACACGCACACGCACACACACGCACACAGGCACATACCTTCTATTCTCCTGCCTTTTGCTTTGGTTCTGTTTCCTCAACCCCTACTATTCCAGCCAGACATTAACATCTCCTTGTGTCTAATAAAACATCTCCAACCAGCCTGTGGTGGCAAATGCCTTTCATCCCAACACTCTGGAGGCAAAGCAGGAGGATCTCTGTGAGTACAAGGATGTCTTTGGACTTCCTTCCTCCGGTCACCAGTGACTGGAATAAGAAGAGACCATTGCCACCCAGCCCAGCTAACTCAGTTTTGTGTTTCAGTTTTGATTTAGTTTGGGTTCTCCTGCTCTCCCTGTTGTTCCTTTTTTCGTTGGGGTTTTTGTTTGTTTGTTTGGAACTCACTCTATATATCAGGTTGGCCTTGAACTCACAGAGATCTCTCTGACTCTGGAGTGCTAGGACTAAAGGAATGCACCACTTGGAAAGATGGCTCAGTAGTTAAGACACTGATTGGTCTTCTAGAAAACCTGGGTTCAATTCTGAGCACCCACATGGCAGCTCACAACTGTCTGTAACTCCTGTTCCAGGGGATCTGACACCCTCACACAGACACATGCAGGCAAACACCAATGCACATAAAATACAAATAAATTATTTAAAAATATAAATAAATGAAAGCTTGCAGCACCCCACCCAGTGGTATGTTGACTTTTCAAGATGCCACTTCTCTGTGTACCTCTTGCGTGTCCTGGAACTGATTTTATAGACCACGCTGGCCTTGAACTCACAAAGATCGGCCTGCCTCTGCCTCCCAAATGCTGGGATTAAAAGCGTGCATCACCACCTCCTGGCCTTCTTGGCATTTTTAGTTTTGGTTTGGATTATATATTGTCTTTAGATTTTGTGGGTTTTTTTTCTTTCCTGTTGTTTCTTTAGGATACTTTGTTGATATTTTGATTTTTTTCCAGCCAGGATCTCAGTGTGTATAGCCCAGGCCAAACTGGAACTCAGATATCTATCTGCTTCTGCCGCCTGAGTGCTGGGATTAAAGGCTCTAACCAGTATGACCCAGCTGGGATTTTTGTTCTTGTTAGCATAGATAAAGCAAAACTGAAAAAAGAATTTCCCAAAGTAGGATAGGCTGGAAGGAAGAAAATCTAAAGTTTTCTTTTCTGGTTTGATTGGGGGTTTTCCCCAAATGGGGAGAGCTGTTTTTTGTTTTAAGAAAGTTTCATTTAGCCTCATCTGACCTAGAACCTTAATAAACCCAGGGATAATTTTGAGTTTTAGTCCTCTGGCCTTTGCCTCCCCAGTACTGAGGTCTAGGCACACACCACTGCCTGCAGGTTTTACAGAGCTGTGGGTAGAGCTGAGGACTCCTGCATGATAGATAAGCAATAGACCTGGTGAAACAACTCCCAACCCTGTCTGTGAGAACGCCAGAGCTCAGCTCTTCCCCCAACCTCTCTGCTTTGCTATTTAGTTACTCCTTAGGTTGTTCAAATGACTTCAGTGAGACCTTGAAGAATTGACTGAAGTTATACAAAATGCAGGGACTTCATGTTGTAGTTAAAAGGGTGAGAGACAAAGAGAAGGGAAAGAGAAAGGGAGGGAGGGGGAGAGAAGAGAGAGAAACTCAGCAAAAATTGTCTATGCCAAAACCCGGGAGGCAGAGGCAGGCAGATCTCTGAGTTTGAAGCCAGCCTGGTCTACAGACAGGGCTACACTGAGAAGCCCTGTCTCAATAAAAAAATAAATAGATAAATAAGTGAGGCTGGAAAGAGGAGAGAGCTTATAAAATTATAATACAGAACTTAAGACAGCTAAGCCTGCCTGTTTGGGGTTTTGAGACAGGGTCTCTCTAGGTAACCCTGACTATCCTGGAACTCACAGAAATCTGTCTTGCCTGCTACGCGACCCAGCTTCTAAGTAGTATGACATACTGAGACAGGTAGCAACAACAGGCCTGCCTGGAGAGAGAGCATATCATAAAGTATTTTGAGATATCTAAGGGAAAACTTGCAAGCAATTTATGGAAGCAAAGCGGTGGCAGCCATGATTTCCCGCTCTCAAGAGAAACTGAGTCTCTGGTATAGGCTTTTTTGTTTTATGTTTTTCCGAGGTAAGGTTTCTTTTTGTAGCTTTGGAGCTTATCCTGGCACTCGCTCTGGAAACCAGAAAGAAATCAAACTCACAGAGATTCACCTGCCTCTACCTCCCGAGTGCTGGGATTAAAGGCGTGCACCACCAACGCCATGCGGTATAGACAACTTCTATGCTACACAAAACAACCCTTGTTTCAAAACCCAAAGAAGGGTTACCTTCCACAAGGAAACTAACGAAGTGCACACACACAGCAACCATACTCTGCTTTTGAACCAACCACAGCAGTCCCACATACGTAGGACATCAAAAAATTAGGTTAAGACTCAGAATTGTTCCTCTCCACGGAAATCTTTAGTAAAAGGCGAAAGATTTATACGATCTGAAGAGAAACCAGAGTATGCTGACAACGGCTCCGCCCACCGTCCTCAGCCGCCCGAAACTCCTGCATAACAAATGGGAACTAGATGCGCAAAACAAGTGGTCATTGGCCTCTGCTTTCGGCTCACACTCTGTCTCTCGATGCCGCATCGCTATCAAGAAAACAAAACGAAAAAGGAAAAGAGCTTATACTTTTAAAAGAAAGCGCGGATCTCTGGGCAATGCATTATGGGTATGTAAAAGACGTTCGGTCCCAAACTCCAGGCTTTATCCTTGTGATAGCGCCTGGCCGCCATCAGGGGGCGGCACGAAAGCCGTATTTACTGGAGTGCACACACCAACCACAACCTCTGACTTGTCTTCGGGGAGGGGTCTCGAAGGCCCACCCTTAGAGGGGAGCTACTGGCGGTTGACAGCTACTGAGGGAGGAAGAGATGCTTCTGCCCCAGGATGACTCCACACCCATGAGTATTTGGGCAGCACTAACTGGACTCAGAAAGTTACTGATAAGAACTTTATAACAACAGCAACAAAACAAATAAAATAAAAGGAGGTGAGGTGGGAGGGAGTCCGGGTGTAGTAAGTTGGAGGAAGGGATGGTGGATGGGTGCTGTCTTAGGGCTTCTATCGCAGTGGAAAACACCATGACCAAAGGAACTGGGGAGAAAAGGAATTATTTGACTTCCACTGCTTCCAGCATTGCTGTTCATCACTGTAAGAAGTCAGGACAGGAACTCAAACAGGGCAGGATCCTGGAGGCAGGAGATGATGCAGAGGCGGCCGGGGGGGG